GGGAGGGGGGTTATGGGAGCCCGTCGTTATCATATAGCGGCGGATATTTAGCTGCGTCTAACCTCCGCAATTTGTTAGTTTGACTTTTTAAGACCACACGTTTAAAAAAATAGCGGCAATCAAAACCCTCACAATATTTTCATTTAACCCCTGCAAGTTTAAACACAATATTATTATACATTAAATTGCGGCAGTTTTAACCTCCGCTATTCATTGAATTTTTTTTTTGGCAATTGTTATACCCATAACTGATCCAATTTCAACTATGTTAATATAATGAAGCATCATCAGATTATATAGAATCAAGTAACATCAATATATTAATAAACCATAAAATACATTAAAGTAAATTATCATTAGTCTCAAAAACTTGCTTTAAACACAACTACTACATCCATTAAACACAAAACATCAGTATTATAGTTAGTCTTAAAACTAATTTTAAACAGAACATTTACTCCAACTATTAATTAAGGACAAAAGATCTCCTATGGCCATTCAATCGAGTAAGATACATTTGCAAGCAACTTCAATGGTTGCCGTTAGGATTACTTCCACCATATGATCTTCTTGCATCCATAGGGGAAATAGATCCGCTAGCCGCATCACCTGGCTAAAAAAATCAAAATAAAATATAATTAACGAACCTTGGTTATTGTAATGATTTGGGCTACTGGAATTCGCCGACTATAAACCACAATAATGTAAAGCTAGTTTTTAATAAGACTACTGCTACTATGTTTATTGTGAATGGAAGCTCAATCATATCCAACATGATAGCAGACCAGCCTTCTCCAGTTCAAGATTATTACCACCTAGCGATGGTCACTGACAAGGGAAATTTCCAATAGCTTTACCGTATCAAAGAAAATGGGAACGGTTGGGATGTTGTGTGGCAATCTATCACACAGCCTTGTGTTGTGAGTAACATTTGTGGTGTATATGGCTTTTGCCAATCACCTGATAACAAGGTAATCAATTGCAGTTGCTTGCCAGACTATTCTCCCAAAGATCACTATGATCCATCTCGAGGGTGTTATCCAAATGAGGTAAAAGATTATTACTACTACTACTTTGGTTGTTGTAATGATTATGATGATGAGATGATGACAAAGACAAAGACAAACCTTGAGCAGTTGTAACATTATTGTTACTATTACTACTGTCATTAATAATAATATTAGTCTCAGGAGATGCAGCAACTGAAGATAATGATTCTTGTTTATATACCACATCAACATCACCACTATGAAAAGATTGATCAAGAAACCTAAAGTTTTGATGACTGTAGAGAAAAGGGTTGCCATTAATTTCTTGAAATGAAACACCAGATGATAATTGTAGATCCATCAAATTAAAGCCTTTTTCTTTAGCATAAAAAATAAGAAGCAAATCTAAAGGGATAAGTGGGGGATGATCAACAAAAGGAAGTAAACCAGCAGTGGAAACATAAGGCAACATTGTGAGTGCTAATTTGCTGTAGCTAGAACAACATGAAAGATCAAAATGCACATTTGATGAGAATGCATGTGTAGATATCGAAGTGAAGAAAGTGAGAAAAAGAGTCCAACACCACATATAGCACAAAAGTTTTCAAAATTAAATAAGAAAGTTATGAACTTTTCTTACCGTTGAATGAGGAGGAGAAACAAAGATCCCTGCAAATTCTTCAGGTATCTTCCCTTCTTTCATTATCATATACGCCTTAAAAGCGTTCATCATTTGGGTGTTAGCATTCATTATTTGGGTGTTAACATTCATCATTTCTCTATAGTTTTCTTGGCTTTGATTGTGAGCATTCAACATTTGATTGTACTTCTCTTGTAATTGGGAAGAACATGAACCGTTATTATAACTTAAAGCATTCAAATCACTATAACGAGGTCTTGTTTGTCTAAAAGCTCTACCAAGAACAACGCCTAATCCCAAGCACCTTACCCTTCCAGAGTGCTCTTTTCCCAGCACCTTACCAACGACATCATTTGGCGAAATTTCAGACTCATCCATGATGCTTTGGCTCAATGCTAGTTCAATTTTTTCCTAAATACATTACACACCAAAAGTCAGTGTCCTAACTTCGATCAGTGATTGATAAGTTATTAAAAAAGAAAAATAAGAGTAGAAGGATATCCAGCTTCTGACAAGATCAATTTGCCTCATATAGAAGGTTATGCATTCAGTTTTGCCTCAATGTATATGAATGTAAAGATAAGAAAATTGCTATAAATTGTTACTACCTCCTAATAATCGATTGGCCTCAATTTGTTAAAGGGAAGCAAATCAACAGAAGTAAATACATTTAATCTTATAAAATGATTAAGCCTCCATAAATCAAAATTATTGCTCTTTCCTTTAAAACTCCATATGAAAAATCCACTTTTAACTGAATCACAGAATTGTATTATTCCTTCTGATTCCCATAAAATTTGAGAATATACACCTTTTCTTGATTTTTTCTACTATGATTTCTTGGCAAAGGAAATAGTGTAAAGAACTCTCTTTATCCTAACAGATTTAGAACCAATCACTAATTACTAGGTACTAAATAATTGCAAATTTGATGGAAGAAATCAAAAACTTACACATATCTCTTTTGTCGCCTCATTAACATATGATCCATCTTCATTTAGCGAGATAAAGCTGTCCTCGTCCAGGCTTTTGTCCAGTCTCAGCCATCTATAAATGAAAAAGTTAAAGTCACATTAATTTAACTAACTAAAAATAGTTTCTAGTTCAATTAAAGTATTCAAAATGAATCAATACCATTTCAGCCCTTCTTCTGGAGTTAGATTTGGAGCCACCGATATGTGAAATAATTTATTTCTTCCGAATTACATGTGATGACCCAAAAGGTCATCACTTGTTTTAAAACAAAAATTCCGTGTTCTAACGCCTTGAAAACCTCATTTAGAGTGACCTTGATTTGCATGCATAGTCCGGGCGCGTAGCCGGAAAGTTTAAATATGAAATTTTGTGAAAAATGATAAGTTTTGATTGTAAAATGAATAAATTTGACTTCGGTCAATATTTTGGGTAAACGGACCCGGATCCGTGATTTGACAGTCCAGGAGGGTCCGTAGGAAAATATGGGACTTGGGCGTATGCCCGGAATCAAATTCCGAGGTCTCGAGCCCGAGAAATGAATTTTTAAAGGAAATTATTTTCTGAAAATTTTTAAGGAAATTTGAAATAAAGTTTGATTAGAAAGAGATGATATCGAGACTGTATTTTGGTTCCGGCACCTGGTACAGGTCTTATATATGGTTTAAGTTATTTCTGTAAAGTTTGGTTGAAAACGGACGTCGTTTGATATGATTCGGACCTAAATTGCTAAATTTGATACTTGATGAAGTTTGAGAAAAAGTTCTTGATTTTGAGGTTTGATTCATTGTTATTGAGGTTATTTTGGCGATTTGATCGCACATATAAGGTCGTATGATGTTGTTGAGTTAGTGCGTGTGTTTGGTTAGGAGCCCCGAGGGCTCGAGTGTGTTTCGGATGTGTTTCGGCAAGTTTTGAACTTAGGAAAAAGTTGCAGATTCATAGAAGTTGCAGGTCTCTGAAGCCAGGTCTCACGGTCCGCGGTGGAAACTTCGCAGCCGCGGTGGGGACTCCGCGACTGCGGTGGGATTTGTGCGGTCCGCGGTGAGCAAGGCCAAGCCTCCGCGGCCGCGCTCGATTTCTTGCGGTCCGCGGTGGAGCTCCACGGCCGCAGTCTTTTTTATGCGGTCCGCGGAGAGGGACTGAGAGGAATATATTTAAACGGACTTTTCAGTTATTTTTTACTTTTCAAAATCCCAAAAACATAAGAGGTGATTTTTCAAATAACGTTTCTTCTCCAAATCAATTGTAAGTCATTTTTAACTAGTTTTCTTCAGTTATTAACATCTTTTAACATGATTTCAACTTCAAATCAATTATTTTCATGGGGGAAATTGGGTGTTTTGGGTAGAACCTAGGTTTTCACAAATATGGGGATTTGGACCTCGATTTAAGGTCCGATTTCAAAACAAATTACATATTTGAGCTCGTGGGGAATGGGTAATCGGGTTTTGGTCCGAATTTTGGGTTTGGACCAAGCGAGCCCGGGGTCGATTTTTGAATTTTTTGGGAAATCTTTATAAAACCTATTTTCATGCATTAGAATTGATTCTTTTAGCATTTATTGATATCGTTAAGCAAATTGTGGCTAGATACAAGCGAGTTGGTGGTGGAAACAAGAGGTAAAGCGGTAATTGAGGCTTGAATTGTGTTCGTTGCATCGAGGTAAGTGTTTGGTCTAACCTTAGCTTGAGGGATTAGGGGTTGTGACCTATTTGCTATTTGCTTCTTGCCGAGTACGACGTATAGGCATGGTGACGAGTATCTATACGTTGGTGTCAAGCATGACCGTGGGTCTCATATTGTGATTTTCATGATTACGTTGTATTATTCATGCCTTGGTGAAGATTTCTAACTGTTGTATAAAGTTTGTGGAAGGAATTGTGACCTATGATCATTGAGGAGCGTTGGCTCAAGTTGTATAGCGAAATTGTGAAAGTATAAGTGACAATTGAACTTTTAGAGCTTTGGCTCGAGTTGTGAAATGAGTTGTGAAAGTATAAGTGATAATCGAACCTCTAAAGCATTGGCTCGAGTTGTGAAATGAATTGTGAAGTAAAAATTGAGAAAGAGAAGAGATCATTATGTCGTCACCCTTGCCGGGCTATTATTGATTTATTTGTTGTTCCCTTGCCGGAATTTAATTATTTACTTGTTGTTCTCTTGCCGAGATTTAATTGGTGACTTGTTGTTCCCTTGCCGGGATTCTTATTGCAAAAATTTCCTTTATTTTCTTACCCTATTGTTTGTGATTATTGTTTGGGTGAGGAAGAGAGTTAAAACACGAAGGGTGATGTCGTGCATTGCTTGTTATTGTGAGGAAAGTGTGTAAAGCACGAAGGGTGATGCCGTGCCGCACGATGTACCATTCCGTGCTGATTTTATTGATTATATGGTGAGGAAAGAGAGTAAAAGTACTAAGGGTGATGTCGTGCACATTTTTATTATATGATTGCTTTGGTGAGGACGAGAGTAAAAACACGAAGGGTGATGCCGTGCATTTGTTGATTTCTGATTCTTTGTTGATATCCGAGTTATGATGCTTCTTTCATTACTTGTTGTTATTTGATTTACTTTGAGGTTATAGATACTCTTACCCTATTTGTCTTGTGATTGTTGTTTGGGTGAGGAAGAGCGTAAAGCACGAAGGGTGATGCCGTGTATTGTTTTGGTGAGAACGAGAGTAAAAGCACGAAGGGTGATGCCGTGCAAATTGTTGATTTTTGCTTCCTTGTTGATATTCTAGTTATGTTGTTTCTTTCCTTACTTGATGTCTTTCTATTCGGAACGATTATCTCCCCCACAACATATTTTCACCTCCCACATTGACTGGTTATTTTTGTATTTCTTTTCCGCTATATATATATATGTGTGTGTGTGTGCACTGCACTGGTTTATTTGGTAGTCTGGTCCTAGCCTCATCACTACTTCGTCGAGGTTAGGCTGGACACTTACCAGCACATGGGGTCAGTTGTGCTGATACTACACTCTGCACTGTGTGCAGATCCAGGAGCAGCTTTCGGACAGTAGTTGGAGGGCTTCCTTCAGTCCACTCGGAGACCCAAGGTAGACCTGCAGGTGTCTACAGGCCCTGGCGTCTCCCTCTATCTCTATCTTCTGTTTCATTTCCTTTGTTCAGAAACAGTGTATTGTATTTTTTTCAGACCTTGTATGTAGTAACTCTTAGACAGTCTATGACACTGTGATACTAGGTTTTGGGTATTGGAGGTTTTAAAGGTTGTAATAGACGTAGCCTTAAGATATATAATTGTTGACTTCCGCTTATTTATTTAAAATTTCGCTTTTATCATATTATCGGCTTGTGTTTGTTAAAAGAGGCAAAATAAAAGTGTAGCAAGTAATTAAGGTTTGGCTTGCCTAGCTCCCATTAGTAGGCGCCATCACGACTCCCGAGGGTGGAAAATCCGGGTCGTGACATTACAACATTTCTTTTACAAATTTCCTTACAAAAAGATACCACAAATTACACATAATTGCCTATTGTATACTTGTAAAACCATAATATCTGTTTAACAAAAGAACAAAGGCACAAACAAACTTTAATTTCATTTCTTTATTTGTTTAGATCTTATACATAATAGTTGTTTAGATCTTATACATAACATATTAGGAGAAAAGTCATAAACTTTGAACAAGTAAAGCAGAATTGGTGATCAAGTAAAGAATAATAATAGGCACGAAGCAACCTCTTATGGAACCTCCGAAGGTTCAACCTCTTGAAATAAATACTTGTGTCTTTTCTTTAAAGTGGTAATCAACATAAGAAATCCATTGATCCGGTGGAATTCCCAGTGGAACGCTTCCATTATCTCGGCTCTGCTCTTAAGTGGATTATAGACCTTATCAAACAACTTTAGCTTTCTTGAGCCCCACTTCTTACACATAGAATTATAAACATATCGTCTTGCATTTGACTCAGTTGTTCGAAAACAAAATCGTGGCTTCAAGAATAAACCAATGGTTAGATAATTATTATATGCAAATATAAAATCTAGTGACATAAAATAGAGATATTGTATGCCTCAGAAATACCTTTATAAATCGATCATAACAACGGTTGAAGGTTGTCACAGGTAAATCCGGCCATTTCTCAAAGTGAATTGGAAAAATAGAGCAGTCAGTTGCTAAAATTTCACAAAAGCCTGCAAGAATGCCTTGTCCTTCACTGATGGGAGAATCCATGTCGTCAAAATCAACCACAATACGTTCTCCATTAGATAAATTTAACACGTCCCTTTTCTTCACTTTAAGTATCTTGCTATCTCCTTGTGAATCTTAAAAGATAAAAATAAAAATCAATGTGGTTCTCTATTCTTTTATTGAGGCATGCAGTAAATTCAAGGGTATTAAGTCTGTGCATAGCTTGCAATACTGGAAATTAGTAAGGAACCCAAAAGAGTAAGTTCATATTTGTGTGAAGACACTAATACTAGTATAGCAAAATCTCAAACACTCACTAGGCACTAGCTATGGGGTTTTTTGCCACAGTAAGCTTAGTTGCTGCAACAGCCATGTTACTCCCTAAAGCAGTACATGAGTCCAGACTTCTCTTTTCTATACTTAAAGAGAAATTTGATGAATTTTCAAATAAGGTCACAATGGTAATTGACGAATTTGATGGCCAAGTCAACAACGAAATTTATGAAGTTGTTAAATTCCATTCTAAGATCTCAGGGGAAGTGCTTTAAGCTCACTTTTCACAAGAAATACATGGACCTTGCTCTTCACTCTTACTTACCTTATATCATGAAAGAAGCAAAAATATTGCGAAAATATTAAAATAACTCAATCAAGATTTCACACTGGATGATGAGAACATCTATGAATTAATCAAATTCCAGCAACTTCAGAGCTATATGTAATGTTTGTCACCTCCTAGATTATTGATATCCGTACGTGTACTTCTAATTTTTCATCTAAGATATTTTCTTAATATGTTAAAGTAGACTTTTCTGCCAAGTATATTAATTAAGGAGAAGCTAGCAAATAAGAGGAGATTTAATTAATTGTCAAATATCATTTTGTGGTTTCACTTTGCCAGAACCTAAAGTCAAACAGAAAACTCTTCAGATGGCTAATCCATATCTAAAGCATCCAAGTTCAACCCTTGAAAACTAAGGTGACAAAAGAAATATTTTTGGAGAATAAACAGAGAGATTTTTCTGTAAAGTGTACAGCAGAGGAAATAGAGAGAGGATTGTTAGTAGGTGGAAGAAGTGATGAAGAAAGAGAATTTGTGGTGGAAGAAATGCTTGCATGTTTCCTCATTAGCATCATCTCCCCATCATCTCCCCAGTACAACATGCAATCGTTTGGACAAGCATCTATCTTGATATAATCAAGACAAAGCTTTTTTATGGTATTCTTGGCCTCATAAAAAGTATTAGGTATCTTTGCAAATCCAAATGCATCCTTCAGTAAATCTAGCATCATAGTCATTCCCTTGTCACTTAGCCCAGACAAATACTTTATGTGATACAACTTTAACAAAAATTCTAGCTTCGAGTACTTGGACCCTTCATATAATTCTTCACTTCCATCTCTAAGCAACTCAAAAAATTCTTTGTTATTTGAAGAAGGCAGATCATTTAACATTTCTTTTTCTCCAACTACTTGTGACGGACCTGCATCAATTCCCTCATGCTTTAAACCCAGGAATACTTCATTTATCACAATTCCATAGGATTTTCAGGAGGTAGTGCATCTAGGATAACCTCTGTGCTTGTAGAGTTCTCCAACACTTCTGTTTCCCCATGAAGAATCCAAGTAACATAATTTTGAGGGAATGACTTGCTAATCAAATGATCGTACACTATCTCTCTGGTCTGCCACTTCCCAGAACCACATTTAGGACACAGATATTTTACTCTATCTCCTATACAAGCATTCTTAAATGCAAAATCTAGAAATTGATTCAAACCAAGTAAATACTTTGTTGTATTTCTAGGCATTCCAATCCAAGATTTATCCATTGAAAAGTATTGATATATAACCTTTCAGAAGCGATCCACTGATAAGGATTTCTCTGAGCAAGAGTGTTTACTGTAACCTACAATATTTCCATGAGAAAGGATGATTTAGTAACCTATCAACGCAATAACATTATAAAATTTTGCAAGATAATGTAGCTTGGACTGCAATATGTATAAATAAATGCAAATTAGCAGTTGATGTGAATTGATACAAGAAGTCCAAATTACAAGATAGAACCAAATACATACACATACACATATCGATTGTTGTTACCAATCTCTATGTTACTTCGGTCCTTTACTTTGCTTTCCTTCTAAACATTTTCACATTTCCACACTTCTATTATAGGAGAAATGCAACAGATTTCTCTTAATTTCTTAATTGTTAGGACTCCTCGATGATTCGCTTTATATGTTGTTGACCCATTTTTCATGCTCATATAGCTATGATTCTACTGATTTTAAACCACTGTATAGTAGTGTAGCCAGTAATGATATGTTCCTACTTGTTCTATGTCTATACTGAAATTTTTTATTTGGAAAGCTGAAGCCATTTTCCTTGTAGAGGTAGTGATATGTTCCTACTTGTTCTATGGCTATACAAAAGTATTTACATATATGAAAAGAACCCCAGCACCACCTTAAGAACAACAAAACAATATAGTAAAGGAAAAGAGGGAAATATACAAACTAAACTATCAAAGATAAACAACAAATTAATTACAAAAGACTCCCCATTGGGAAGTCAGTAACCTGCGATAGGAGGAATAAGAGGTGCTTCAAAAATCACTAAGGTTACTAGAGTTTAGGCTACTATATGATACTTCCTGTCAAAATTAGCATATTTGCAGAACAAACAGCTCTACAGATGCGACTAAGATAGCAATTCAAAAGAAACTACAACCAATTGAAATCAACACATACTCAAATGTAGTACTTACTGCACTTCAAATCGGTAATATTCATTTTCTGCCGGTTGGAAAGTAGTACTGTAGTTTTTGTACAGAAAAACAACTAATGTTCATATATATAATGTTCAAATAGGTAATGTTCATTTACTGCACTTCAAATAGGTAAGATATATTTTTGTGACTCCAATATTATTAAACAGAAAAACAAAAAAAATGTACCTTGAGAGGAAAAGCAACTAGTGACAATTGTATCTTCTCTGAAGGTCCGCATGAGTTCTAAAATACACATGCAAAAGAAAATATTTCAATTAAGACTCAAATCACATAAATGAACCTACAAAATACACAAAAAATCTAAATTCTAGGACCTATAATACCTAATGCAAAAGGAGAAAGAGGACTTACATCTCGATTTCAACAAAGAGTGTTATATCATTCTTCAAAATGCACTGATTCTACTAAATTTCTGCTACTTTCTCTTGAGAATTGAAAAACATCAAGATGAAAGAAAGAGAAAAAATCAGTAAAGGAAAGATACAAATTAACTGAGAACATAAACTTAAAACCCACATGCATGATGAAAGAAAGGCAAAAAAGCAAAATCAAAGAATGAAAGAGCAAAATCAGAGCAAAATCAAAGAGGAATTTGTATAAAAGTGGGCTGCTATGAAAGCAAAATCGAAGAGGAATTTTTGAGGAATTTGTATGCTGTTCATTTTCATCCCTTGTCTGCTAGGTCTGTTAAGAATTTGGTTAAAGGAATGTTTTTGAAAATGAAAGAGGGTTTTTAGCTGAAAATGAGAAAGGGGTTTGGGAAAAAAAGAGAGGGAAATGATTAAAAAACGAAGGAAACATTGGGGTTAGTGGGCGCATTTCTTTTTTGGGTTGCGGAGGTTATCGACTGCCATAAATATATTATATTTGCGGGGGTAAATAAACCCCCACAATTCGATATAGATTGTGGAGATTATAGTAACCGCCATAATAAAACCTCCGCAAATTTAACGTTTTTTTATAGTGAATTGTTGATCTCAATTATATCTATCTATATTATTCAATTATTCACAAGTTTTGGTGGGGCGACAAGACTTTTTTCTGGCTTTATTCTATCTATCCTTTTAACTTGATAATGGATTGACAAAACTTGCATCTCTGATTCAACTATAACATCGGCCAACGAACTCTGGGAATTGCAACTGCCATAACTTCATCTTAATTATGCCCAACTGGGCATTGCAAGTGCCATATTTTCATACGAAAATGCCTTCGATCCCACCACACTTTAGACTACGCTGAAGCCGCAAAAGAAGAAGAAGAAGTATAAGCAGAAATGCGTATACCAACCACAATTATCAACTTTCTCCGCCTTCAATACGCGCGTCTACTTAATACAAACTTATTGATTGGATATGCATTAATTGTACAGGAACCAATCATATATAATTATAATGCATGCCTTATCAAGATAAAAGTCGCAAAGTAAATTTCTCAATGTAATACAACAACGTGTCCTTCAAGTAACTATCTATTAGCTGTGTCTCGTCGCCCTATATTTGAGCTAAATTGGAGGAGGAGTTATATATGCCGCTGGGTCTATATTTGCTCAACTTTTAAAAATAAAACAAAAATTAAACACCAGTTCTTGAAAAGGACAGCAGATGAAATTTTCCATTCAAACTACTTGAATCCAAATTAAAATTCCAGTGCACGAACACAATTTTTCAACAAATATTTCTTTCTTTTTTCATTGTACCAATTATATTGTGTGTATTCCTGTAAAAAGGCAACGAAAACTAAGTACACATATAATTAACATTCAAAAACGAAATACAATCCATTAAATATAAGTAATTGATCGATGACTAACTGCTACTAAATCAATCATGAGAATTGATGACCTTTTGATTCATCTATGAGAATTCAGCGATTTGCATGGTAAAGTTTTTTTTCATCAAAAGGAGATCGAAGTCTCTTATTCATGATACATTAGCAAAGCAAAAGAGCCACGAGTTTCACGTACAAGCCATGTGGTGAATTGTTCATCCAAGAAAACCTCATGTACAAAAGTCTTTGAGAAACTAGCTAGAAGGTGACTACATCTATTTTTATTTGTTCTAATAAAACAAGAACGAACTAGCTACATCTAGGTTGTAAACCAAAAATAAAAGTACAATAACAATGTGATGACATGACAAACTTATTAAAAGACAAGAAATTTCGCTTAAAGCAATGAGAATAAGTGTATTGCAATTGTCAATTTTTTTGACATATTTCGTGAGTTCCTATGATTGTTTTTCCCTTTAGATTTTTGAAATCTACGTTGTCCTCATTAGTCTCTTAAGTGACACGTCCCTAATATAATGTTGGTATACAAGGAGTTTGCACTCTTATAAATTTCTCATACATGCACCTATTCATAACAACTCAATAATCCCATCATTTTGAGTGCTTTCTTTGTTAACCTCAACACATAATACTATGATATTTAGGTACAAAATTGGAATCGTATTTCTTGTTGTCCTCTCAATTTGGGTTAGGACCGAAGGTCGTAGTATCGCGCAATTCTTAATTGAAGAATCGGAAGGAACCAAATGGGCTGTCCTAGTTGCTGGCTCCAATGGCTGGGAAATTATAGGCATCAGGTTGTTATTCCAACCATTTTTCTTTTACATTGTCTTCATATATATATTACTAATATTTAAAATAGAAGCTCAGCAATTTCTTTTACTAATTATATTTTTACTAGATGACTAGCTTGCCCGCGGTTGCGGGCCCAACAATTTTGATTCTAATGCAGCTTTACTTTACATTACAACTACAAAAACAAGAACACTTCATGAGATGTACAATTAAAATTCCGTATGCCAAAAGAACACGGACAAAATTATTCATAAAAATCCCACAATAGCAAATATGCACATCGGCTGATATCTCCAAATTGTGAAAAAATCACCTTCAATCTTATGGTATCTTGAAAAATCACTCAACATGGGTGTGTTAGCTAGGGGTGTACAAACCGAACCGAAAAATCGCACTAAATCGAAAAGTCAAACCAAACCGATTAAAAAACCCGACTTGGTTTGATTTGATTTGGTATTGCGTAAAAAAATCCGAACCAACCCGACATATAAATATATAATTTTTATATATACTTTTAAGATTTTATATAAAATTTTCTTTAAAAAATATTTAGAAATATTTGGAATTCTCTTGCGGGATATAAATTTTAATAGAATATGAAGTGCTCCATATTTATTGAACTTAAATAATGGGTTGTATGATCACTTTCTTATCAAGTGTTACCGAAATGTTTCTATCTCTTTGTTCTCCCATATTAATATCATATGTTAAGATTTATTAAATTCTTATATTTTTTTTAAATGTGAAGTGGTTATTAATATTTAGGTACCATATTGATTTTTATGTTTAATTACTAAATTCGGTTAACCTGAAAGTGTATATCAACAAAAAATTATTGTCAGACAACTAAAAAAATAACTATTATGTGTTATTAATAGAATTCTCCCATAAGAATATTTTAATCGATAATATGTTTGTCAATTTTTTATATTTTTACTAAACAAATATTTACTTATAATCAAATATTTAACAAAGTAAGATTGAAATAATATGCAAGTAACAAAAAACCTGAAAACCCGAAAAATCCGACAAAATCGAACCAATCCAAACCGAAATAGTTGGTTTGATTTGATTTTGAATAAAACCGAACTAACCCGGTCCATGTACACTCTTAGTGTTAGCCATGAACTTAATTAAAGAAAAAAGTCGCCTTCAATCACCTCTTGTGCAATTGTATGTTGTAGCCAAGGAATATGTTTCCCTCTATAAACATCCAGAGCCCCCTTTTTTTCCCTTCTACGTCTATACCTGCTGAAATTAACTCCCTTCTCTTTCTGTTGATGCGGCTTGTGGGTAGGAAACCAAATACTAATATTTTAACCATGCATAATTACAACTTATGCCTGCACCTAGGGGTGTACATAGGCCGAGTTAGTTCGGATTTTACAATTACTAAACTAAACCAATTGTGTCGGGTTATTAAATCTAAAGACCAAACCAAACCAATAAAACTCGGATTTTTCAATCTCGGGTTTTCGAGTTATTCGGATTTTTTCGGTTTTTTTTCCGGTAAAATCTTCGTAGAACAAAACATATAATGTATGCTCAAAATATTTCTTTAATCCTAATAAGATATAACTATATAAAGTATTTTCCAAGAAAATAATACAAAATATGAGATGTGTCATGGCATTATCCTAAAATATTCAACAATAAAGACAATAAAATTATGTAATATAAATATTGCTAATTAAAAAGCCATAATAAAAATAAACATAATCTAAAAGTACTAAGTCATGTTAAATAAATAGACTAATAAGAGAATATTAATTACATGACTAAACGCTAAAGAAAAATAAAAATAAGTTATGCATTTTTATCTAAATTATTGCAAAACAAAAAATAGATATTCAATA